GGAATCCTTCAAACTTCAGAAGTACAACCCTGGAGAGTGTTAAAAACCAAAAGCCTCTACCTGTCCTGTGGGAGAAGGAAGATCTGACTTGAGAAATTGCTCCGTGGAGTTACTGACAGCTTAGCCACATCTTAGGGAAGATTAGAGCACTTAAGATTTCATGACAGATTACGTTAATTTTCAGGATGTTTCAGTGTGTCCAGGAATTTAGATGCAATCTGTTCATGCACCTCACATGGTCCTACAAGGCAAGTTCTGTCTGTATGTGAAAATGTGGGGTCTTAAGAACCAGATTGTACTAGTATCAAGTTTGCTAGATTCATTTTCAATGCTGTTTTAATTAATGGAGTCTATGAGTTGTTTCACATTTGTGAGTTGTCAGATGTAGGTTCTTTGTAAGAAGCCAGAGAGGATCTGTTAAAAATTCCTGAGCCAGGAGAAGTAAAACAGACACATGTTCCTTTTTTAGTGTTCCAGCATTACAATACTGGAGTATTTCACTTTAAAAGTGCTACCCTAAAGTAGCCTCCAATGGCTTTATATTTCTTCCAGTAGCTATAGCAGATCCAAGTTCTAATGCTTCAACTTTAACTTCAGTCAAAGGTTCGGTCGTTTCCCTGACGCAGAATGACAGCCCCTGTTCTGAAAATGTATTGATTAGATTTCCTGGGAGTTTTGTTTAACCAGCAACATTAGAAACCTTCAGTGTTAGTACTAAATGTCATGAAGAGAGGCATCTTGTTTTATTGATATCTTTCTGTAACAGTATTGACTGTTCAGTTTGTACAACCAATACCTGAGATTGGAAATAATTCTGCCTTGTACTCCTCCTAAGTATTCCAATTATCGTAAAGCTTTAGCATTCTTCACATTGATGAGTTCAATTTACTTACATTAAACCAAATGAAATAGCAACAAAATGTGTTATGTGCAAAGAAAGCACTGCTCTTAGAAAACTATACTTTTACAAAATAGTGTGCCTCCTGAGCTGGACCTTCAATGTACCAGGTCTTTAGTCACTCCGTTGTAGCTTTGTGGATCTCAGTGCTGCCAAACCACTTTCTGCTGGTCCTGTGTCTGGTCCAGAGCATTGCAGCATCACAGCAGAGCTTACAGGAACTGTGGAGTTCAGCACAATGCATCCATACGTAGCAAAGCCACCCAACACATCCAAGCTGTTCCTCTTGAGCTGAATTTTTAGCTTCTTCACTGTTGTAATATTCATATCTTCCGAAGAGGAATACTTCAGAACAAAATACCCCATCTTTTGCTTACCATATGTCTTTTAGAAATTGGTGTGTTTCAGACTGTTAGTTGAAGTGTATTTGATAACTTGGGCATTTAAGGCAGTTGCAATCTTGAATTGATTCCAAGTTTCATGGATGATAGTTCAAAAATCTTTAGTTGAAAACCTGTTAATTTACCAAAGCTAGGTTGTGAAACTCATCTCAAGTTAGTACATAGACTAAAGAGATCAGCACGTTCCAGCAAAGGGCATTTTTCAGGTGTTCAGATTCATTATAATAGATAGGAGTCACCCAGGCTTGGGTAACATGGAGAACTGAGACACTCATGTTTCAGAACTGAGCCCACCTTTCAACTCTTGGTACACTTGGAAAACTTTGTGTGCTATCTCAATGGTGTTTATCAGTTTCCCCTTCAAAGCACATAACATCTGGGCACTACAGGAACCCTGCATTTGTGTGGCTTTTAATCAGCTACAGCTTCACTGTAGTGTAGGCTTTGTGGTGTTTGATATTTTGTAAAGACATACTCTATTTATGTTGTGGTACTGACTCACACTCGGAATGTATTTGGTGGTTTTAGGTATTTGGTTATCAGATTTTCCATATTCTGCAAATGCAATTCTGCAAGTGGTAATATATATAAGATCGGTTGTAATAATAAGCAGTATGAAAGGAGAGGAGTCAAGAGAAGAACAGAGCAAGGGGCCAAAGAACCACTTCAAAATAAGTACTTGGGGGGTTTTTAAATTATTATTCTTATTAATATATATTATATAATATATAATACTCTTATTATCACTTAACTTTTGTGTTCAAGGATTAACAAACCACTAAAACTTGTTACCTTTTTCCAACATTCTGTCTGACCTCCTAGATCTGCAAACACACAAAAAAAAAAAAACAAAAAAAACAAACCCTAACTAATTTTAAGTATCTAAAATGTAGCTTCTTAATTTCTCTGTTCTCTTAATTTCTCTGGGATATCCTGTGGCTCAACCCTTTGTCTGAAGGTCAAGAGAGTTTTATTCATCTGACATAAGTAGCTTGAGTGTGGCATTTATAACCTAAGTAATGTTATGGATGATAACACCATTAGACATTTTTACAGCTTTCAGCAGGAGTTCAGCCAGCAGGACTATCAGGCTGATAAATGCTTTCATCTTAAAGGTTGTATTGCTACAATAACCCTGAAACTTAAAGCTGCTCCTTGAAACCTACAGCCTGGCTGAAGAGATGAAGTGTGCCCTCTGATATTTCTAGGTTGCTAAAGAGCTCTCTCAAGTTCCAGTGCAAGAATCCAGATGCTGACATACAGCTGTTCTGAATTGGAAATTACTGAGTACTTAATAATTTTAAATTATTTGAGGGCAGTGCTACTCAAAAGAATTAGCTTTAGATTGAGATGAGATAGAACTGTTGAGTGATGAGTCCAAAGATTTTATTCCTACCCAATTATAAAATGTTTCTGCAGGGTTTTAGGAAGGCAGACTCTTGCACTGCTATTTTCAGAAACAATAGAGGTTCACCTCCTCTGTTTAGGTATTTACAATTATAGAACTTTTAGGAGACTAGTTAAAAACTAATCTGTAGTAGACTGAGAGTGGTGTGAGAAGGTAGCAGTGACAACTGGTAGGATTTTACCTTTGTAAAAGTTTGTTTTCTTGAGATCAGAAAAAGAGTGGCTGTGTTTTGAAAGTGAATAGTGAAAGTGGCTGTGCATGTGAAAACAGTGGAAATAATGAACAGTGTGAAATGAGATGTGATGATACAAGTGGAAGAATAGGAAAAGGGATCAAAAGGGAGGATAGTGTGAGATGAACAAAGGTTGAGTTCTTGTTTTTACATTTAAGAAGAGTATTCTGAGGCTTGTAGTAAATTTCAGCTGCTGTTTTAACCCAGTAACTATTTAACACTAAATATTTGTAACGTGTAATGATTATGGTTAAGACAGCCAGATACTGGGTTTTTTTTTCAATATTTTTAATAATGGGAAGCAACTCCACTGTTTTTCTAAAGATTTTAATGACTTTATGGGAGTTCTTTTAAATTGCCATTCTAGTTTACAACCTTCATTAAGTTGATCATAAAAAGAATTCTAGTATTTTTGTTTTGTTTTTGTTGTTTTGGGTTTTTTTTTGACTAAGACTTAAGAATCCACACTTCCTTTCTGAAACTTTCGAATAATCATTTCAAATAATGACAGTTGCTTCCTAGGAGACTGCTGTTGTACAAGTCTGATACAATACACACATTGAATGCTGCAGTTCTGATACAGCCTCTCAGTAGGAAGATGGAAAAGAAGACCTCTGATAGCAGAGGTCACCAAGGGTGATTGCAGGTTTTGAACAACAGCTATACGTGGAGATCCTAAATAGGCTGTGATTCTTCAGCTTGGGAAAGAGATTACTAGGGAAGTAGATAATAGAGGTCTGTAAAATTGTGACCAATGTTAAGAATGTAAGTAGGGAACAATTATTTGTGTTTCTTTCAGTGTAAAGAGCTAAAGGTTGCCAAATGAAACTATCAGTTATCAGAGAAGAGGGCTTGGGGTTTTTTGTTGAAAGCTACAGGAGTATGCAGGGGAGATACTTGCTCAGTGCATCCTGTTCTTTTACTCTTCTCTAAACACTTGACCACTCTTAAAGGTAAGTTACAAGGCTAGGTGAATTTCTGATCTAGGCGTCTAGCTGTTAAAACCTTCAATTTACAAGTACTGGAAAGAGGTGGCAGACTGAAGAGCAAGTGTAAGATTTGACCTTCCTTTTAGCTGCATTTTTAATGCTGGCTAGTTTTCAAGTTGATGGGTGCTTTTAAACTTGCTTTAAAGTATTTGCCTCATACAGAATTACGTGATAGCAGCAACAGCCTTGGCTAATGCATTTATTGCTTTAGGATTTATTAGTCCCGATTTTTTTTCCTAAAATTCATCAAATATGCAGGATCTTAACTTTCTTAAATCCTCAAGAAGAATTTATTAAAAAAGAAATTTCAGGTTCCAGTCAGCCTGACTTCACTCTGTGTGATTGGCTATGGAGTTGCTTAAGGGCAAGAAAAATCTTGGTTTATCCATTTTGTGTTGGAAATGGTGGGTGGAAGCTCTTCTCGTCTCTTCCTGGATGTGCAACACATTGCTTTCCCTTTGGCCTATGATAATCTCCTTCCAATCTCCTTCCAGGTGATTGGTCATACTCTTTTGCCTCCTTTTGTTTTTATTTTTTTTATTTTTTGAAAGGCATTCTCCCATCTTTTCTAGCTCTTCAACTGTCCTTCTCTATTCAGCTTTCTACTTTTCATAAGCCATTTAAAATCTCTGATAGGACCTCACTTTTGTCAGCTGTGGCTTTTCTTTTGATATTGTTGGGACTTATGCACACCTCCATTTCTGCCACCAGGAGTTTTTGTATTATCCAAGATTACTAAAGAATCTGTGGTAGCCTTTCTGCCAGCTCACTTTAATTGCAGTAATGATCAAGTTCAAATAAAGTTTAATGTCTCATATTAAAGTGAATGAAATGCATCCACCATGAAACATTACTTGCTCACAGATTTTACAAGCTTACCTGTAGACTGCTGCTTTAACTTCATTTTTACATTCGTCTTTGATTGTAGTGTCCTATTCTGGCATCCTTTTGCATCCAGGACTGCTTTGCTTTCAATTAATTCCCAGTGCAGCTAGTTAATTACACGATGCATTTAAAGGAGGACCCTATGGCTCACATTTGGTGGGACTGAGGGCTGTTGTGTTACTTTCAGGTTCTGTTTGGCACTGCTGATGGACAGGTTATCGTCATGGACTGCCATGGCCGAATGCTGGCCCATGTGCTCCTCCATGAGTCAGATGGCATCCTCAACATGTCCTGGAACTACCCCAGCTTCCTGGTGGAGGACAGCAGCGAGAGTGACACGGACTCCGACGACTATTCCCCACCACAAGGTAGGGTTATGTGCACATCGGTCTATTTCAGCTTTGCACATGCTCATGAAGACATCTCACATGCCAGGCCGTTGTCATGCACTGCAAAACCAGCAGGATGGCCTCAGTTTCAAGCTCTCATGGTGCAGAGGGCTGGTATGGGAGAGTGGGTTTGTTCCCAGCTCTGCCACCAGCCTTGCTGCAGGTCATACCTCACCTGTGCTGCTCTGCCTCCATTTGCACAAATGAGATAACAACACAAAGCTCGGTTGGTTTTCAGTGAGGGTGAGTGAAAAACAGTAGACAGGGATGTGTCTGGTTTTCTGATAAGCAGATATGAGGTATTGCAGTGGTTCATGTGTATGGAGGTAGAGTGCAGCCACAGAAATGAATGCACTATTATATAGATTCATCTGAAAAGACAGCAGTACTAGACATGGTGTAAAGTACTATATATTTAGTTTTATCTCTGTTTCATAGGATTTCTGTAATGCTCATCGTTACAGTCCCATCCTTCATAGTCCTGACATAAAGAGTTCCATAAATACCGTAGAAGGCTCAGAAATGAGGATATTTCCTGCAATTACACAGGATGGAAGCAGGGTGACTGGAGCTGGCTGGAGTTATTAATTCACATGCTTCAGAGCACATTGCCGGTTTGAGAGTCAGGAATAAATCCTTCCCTCTCCTTAAATCTCAACACAACTTGTTTGGTGAAATATTTTGGTTTTAAAGTGTTTGGAAATCATCAGTAGCAAAGATTTATGAGGCTTAGATATCCATGACATAGACAGTCCCACTCTTCTCATTCAAGTAATGAGAATACTTCCTTGTTGATGTGATTGATCAGTTTATAAGCTCTAGGTAAGCTGTTCCTGTGTTTCAGTGTATAAAACCTGAACTAAATTAAGAGCTAAGTTTATAAAACAGTGACTTTACAGTGAAAATTTTAAATACATATAAAATCATTAAAAAATAATTCTGAATTTGAATCTTGGATCTGAACCTCTGAATTGGGGACTTTCACAGTTTTAACTCTAATTTTGATTCAGACCAAAAAAATCTACCTTTTCCAGCATATGTGTCTATATAATAAGATTATGTATTTAACAAATATTGAAAGAAGATAATCTGATCACCTGGTAAAACATTAGCATATTTTAAAACTGAATTTTATTTTGGCTTTCATGCCTCACTCCTGGTACTGGGTAAGATTTCTTACTTTCGAAGGAAAGAAACAAACTTCAACCTAGCAAGCTCCTAAAGCAAGACAGACAACAATAATAAATTGTATTTTTCCTTGGTTTTTGTTGTGTTTTTTTAAAAATACTGAGGTTCCAGATGGAGGATGGTGAAATTGCAGAGTACACAGATGAGAACTTAAATGATCCAAATGTGTTAGCTTTTTCTGAGTCAGTCAGGGGGTGGGCGGACTCATTACAAGCCTACAAGCCTATTTTAATGATTACCCAAACATGATGTGTTTTCTTTAGAGCAGATGCAGCATAAACCTCTCAAAGGTGACAAGCTTTTGACTCACACAGATGTGTAGGAAGGACTAGAAGTTTTTTGGGATTTTCTTATTAAATTATATGCACACAGAGGTGCTACTTACTAGACATCTTCTTCCAAAATGCTTTCTCATCAGCTTTTTTACAAGTTCAGGAAGCAATACTATTTTTAACTGGTTCTGCCATTTCTGTTGACTGGAAAGATGTCTGGGCTTTGAGAGGCACTTGATCAGGGACATCTCTTCAGGGATGAGGATCAGGGACAGTGGCATCTCTTCTCTCAGAAACTGTGAACAGAAGGAGTTAAACAGCAAAAGCTACAGATGGCAATATCGGTCGTGAAGTATTTAACAAAGGAATTTTAGTGAATTGCTGAAAAACAAGCTCAGAGGACCAGAGACTTTACAGAAATGTTTTTTAAATCCAAGTTTTCCATTTGGGCTCACCTCTACTTTTGGGTGCACTGGATCCTGTTATGCAGAATGGCAGGTATCTTTTCATGCTGCTGCCTAGACATTTAGAATGCAGTAATTTGTGAAAGGTCAGTGTGTTCTCTTAGAAGTTCTTAAAATGTCTCTGTGTGACTTCAGGAGAAGTCCCCAGCACCTGCCCAAGCAAAAAGCATATAGAACAAACAGCTTTCAATGTCATTATATTGTTCATCATGCTGGTTTTCAACTGGGGTTCTGAGAAAACCTTCTAAGGCACTGGTTTTCAATTTTTTTGTCATTCTGGGAAGTTGGGAATGGAGAAAGACTGAAAAACACCACTGTGGATATGCTGCAGTAAAAATTGACGAAGTAAAAGCTTGAGGTTTCACAGAAACAGAGCAGCTTAACTAGCTAAACCTGCTTTGTTTGTGCCCACAGATGTTGCAGCAATAAGCAGGTAAAGAGGCTTGGAACAACTCCTGATGGTGGTAGGCTGAAGTACAGTGTGTTTCACCTGGATGTGATTATTTTTGGTTGTTTACCTTTTGCTCACTCAGCGCCTTGTTTTGCAGATGGACCAGCTGCGTATCCAGTCCCGGTACAAAACACCAAGCCACTACTTACTGTCAGCTTCACATCAGGAGACATCAGTTTAATGAACAATTACGATGACTTGTCTCCTACTATCATCCGCTCAGGGTTGAAAGGTACAAAAAAGAAGCCATTTCTCCCTCTCTTTTGTCCTGTTTTTCTTGTCTTTTTGATGATGTGTGAATAGGTTACATTTTTGTGGCTCTAGCTCCTTAACCCAGGAGCCCTCGGCGCTGTTATTGCCGTTTGCAGCAGTGACACCTGCTGGAGGAAGAGCAGCTCTTGGCTGATGGAGTTTTTGTGTTTGAAAAAATGCTTCACAGTATTTTTGAGATCGTGTTTTTGTGGCAGTTCTGTAGGGCAATTGATCTGTTTTGCAGTTTTCCAGCAGAATGCATTAATGTGATTATGCTTCTTTTTGTGAATGTCTCTGCTACATAACACTTTCTTTGCATGTCTAATTCCCTAGGTCTTCCATGCTTTTGGTAACCTGGTATAAATTGCAATGCTGCTTTGGTTCTCACAATTATTGAAAACTTGCTAGAATTATTAATTGTCAAGAGGCAAGTTATTTTGAGAGAGGAAAAAGTCTAGTGATTAATTACTATGCATTTGATTTTGCTATGTGCATGAATGTTTGTACAATCAGTATTCCATGTAAAATCTTTAACTTACATTGAAATTTTTACTGTTCTTACCTATTAAAAATGTCCTTTACTTTGCCAGAACTCTCAGTGCAATTTACTGTGCTTTGCCTGCAGAGACATTTTAATTCAATACATAGCACATAGGCAGATACTTAAATATAGGTTCCACTGAAGCTTTTTCATCTCCACAGGTAAATTAGTTTTAAATTAGATGAAAAGAGAATTAGGCTGTTGGAGCAAACTCTTAACTGTTCTAAAATAGTGGGATGTTTTTGGTGAAAAGTTGCCCTAACACCAGCCCTAACATTTTTGGGTGATCTGTTATGTGCAATAGTCTTAGGAGGTAAAAACAATCCCCTTTGAGATTTCTTTTCCATTCCTTTCTTCATCTGTGCCAACACAAGAAATGTGTGAGTGGCAAAACACAGCATTATGAGACAACCCTACAATCCAGAAAACTTCAGCTCAAAGGATATCAGAAGTGTGGAAAACTGGAGCAAACTTAAAGAAGCTCTTGTGGTAATCACCAATGGGTCTGCTCAGCATTTCTACAATATTAGAGTAGTTAGAGTACTGAGCAGTCTTGAGTTGTCATCTAGTCTAGTTTTCAACTAGGAATCATAGGAGAAACAAACCCCATCTTATTCTCTGTTTAGAGTTGCAGCACTCTATCTTGCTGAGGATGTCTGTCCTGTTTCTCTTTCCCCATTGACTTTCACTAGTACAAAAAAGATCCCTTAAGTATATCACTCTCCTGTAAGAAAATATTAATGTGCAAGATAGGGTAGGAATATTTTTATTAGTTATAAACTGGACTACATTTATTTATCAGTAGGCAAAAAAGATGCAGCATCATCTTACTGGATTGGGAATGTGTGTGAGAGAGACTATTGGGATGTCACTGTTTCAAGTACAGTGGAAAGTATTTTATGTCTGGTTTTTATAGATGTTCATGCTTCCTGTATCTTCATATTTTTTTTTTCAAGTGACTCTGAATTTTACTGGATTTTATCACAGGCAAGAATGTGCAAAACCACCAAGTATGATCTTCAGTATTCCTTGTTCATGTGTTTGTGTTTAAAATCTCAAAGTATTGCTCTGTGGTCTCTGCAGCAGATATCCTGGCATTTAAAGGCTGCTGTAGGCTACTCAATGTATTTTTAAAGTAGAGAACTATGAAATTATTTCATGCAGTAACAATATATTTTTAATATATATAGAATATATATATATTCTACTACTTTTGCAGAGCTGTCATTTTAACAGGAATATTTCTGTTAAATTGACAGAGGAAAAACCTTGATAATTTGATAACCCAAATAAAAGTTTTTCCAATCAAGCTTGAAACAGTCCTGGTAGCTTTGTCAGTCCTAGTCGAGCTCCTGAACTGTTCAGATGTATCCTTTATTTTTTTGTGCTTTTTAACTCTGTGATTCTCAGTGCATTGCTACCTGCAGAACTGCTGAGCTACATCTACTAATTTTACTAGTTAGCCACAACTACTGCTTGCAGAGCTGTTGCACATTTATACTGCTCTGTGTTCAAGGTTTGCTGATACACATGCCTGTGGTGGCTGGAAAGTAGCTTTGAGGTGTGACTGATTCACTGATTCACTTGAAGACCATTACCCTAGATGAAACCTCCATTTGATTTTTAATCCCTGTGCTGGTGCTGAGAACCTATTTATCAGTTATTTTGTGTAAAACTCCGATAGTCATTGAAGATCCTGTTGGCAGTGCAAGTGTATCAGTAGAGCCACACTGTCCTGGGGGGATGCTGCAGCCCACATCCACTCTTTTTGCTGCCTTTGCAGCAGTCTCATTCTAGGACTTTGAGAGAAAAAACTGCTGGACAAAGTAATCACTCCTCTTCCTCTTGTCATGGGGATCAGCTGAAAGTTTTGCCTGAAGACATTGATCCAAAGGAGACAGTATTTTCATTATGGTAGTTCCATAGTTATCCAGTTACCAAAAGTGGAGCTTGCCTTGTTTATTTCTAACCTGCCTATCTGTTTCCTCTCAGAGAAACATGAATTAAATCCCCTTGTAGGTTACTTAGAGGGCTGAAAACTAAGATAAAACAAGAGGCATACAATGCCTAGCTGTGGAAAAATTACCTTGAGGAACATGTGGCTTCCCTCTGATACGTACCAGAGCATAATTCCCATGAGAAATATTAGAAAGTTGAAATAATACAAAACCATTTTAAATTGCACATAAAAGTCCCTGAAAATGACAAGTTGACAACTTGAAACAATTTTGAGATCCTTCCTGCCAACTCTCATTTCTCTCCTGCTTCTTCATTTGAAGACAGCTTCTCGCCCACAAGTGTCTTCAAAAGGTTCTTGGCAGATTGAGCATCCCAGAGCACTAAAGTTTTGTCTTTACCTTCACTCTGTCTCAGCACAAAATAGCAGCCTTTCGCCTCTGGTTTAAGAGTAAAAAGATTTAAAGGCTAGCTCAGTGTTCCTTGAACATGCAAATCTGCCTTTGAAACATGAGCAGGAATGCAAAATACTGTTTTAGAGTTACTCTTGAAGTGTGACAAAGAACTAGAGGATATAAGGGTTTGAAATAAGCATCCTCAAATTAAGCTGTGGGCATCCCTCATCATGAGGTGGCTGTAAGAGAAGTAACTGATATGTGTATTCATATCTGTGTATATGAGAGTCTGAGCTCTCCCTGTGTGATTCCAGCAAAGCCCTGCTAAGCAGCTGAGTAGATTTTCACAAGTCAGAATCACAGAATCATTAGGGTTGGAAGGAACCTCTAGGGATCAGCCAATTCAACCCCCCTGCCAAGGCAGGGTCCTCTAGAACAGGTTACACAGGGACTTGGCTTGTGGGTTTTGAATGTCTCTAGAGAGGGAAATTCCCTAACCTCCCTGGGCAGCCTCTTCCTCTGCTGCCCTCAGTGTAAAGAAATTCTTCCTCATGTTGAGGTAGAACTTCTTGTGCTTTACTTTATGGCCATTGCTCCTCATCCTGCCATTGGGCACCACGGAAAAGAGTCTGGTATAACCTTATCGGCACAAACCTTTGAGATAATAATGAGATCCACTCTTAGGCTGCTCTAGACCAAACAAGCCCAGCTCCCTCATAAAAGAGAAGCCCAGTCTCTCCTCGTAAGAGATTCTCCAGAGCCCTCACTATCTTTGTATGATGGTAGCAAAAGAAAACATACTATATGGAGACTATATGTATTTATGGACAAGGGTCCAAGTACTTTTAGTTTCATGTTGTACTGTCTTAACTCTAGTTTGAATAACTAGAATAAGTTACATTGACACGAGCATGAGGCATTGCCAGATATGCTTTTTTGCACTATAGGCCTTTCCAGACAAACACTCTTTGCTGCTCTCTTAGTAAGATTATTTATCTGCATATTAACTTGATTCTGCTTATCTACCCCAAAGTTGTATGTAGGATCTTTCACATCAGTTTCAACATCTCTAGTAAATTCTTGTCCTTACGTGTGTAGGAGCAACTACTGATTGCATTCTAGACTCACCATAGAGAGAAAAGAATGCTTTTTACACATTTTTTTCCAATTTACAAAATAAAGAGTCATTCTCAAAAGTGCACGTGTGGCATATTTTCTACTATTTCAATGACAGGATATAGGTTTCTAAGTACTTAAGTAACTTTTGAGAGTACGTGTTATCTGTTCGAGTCACTTTGCAACATCTGGAAATGCTGTTCCTGTTGTTTCTATTCAGTGGTTATTGCAAACCACCTTTTTGATTTCAGATGTGGTGGTGCAGTGGTGCACACAAGGAGACCTGCTTGCAGTAGCAGGCATGGAGAAGCAGAACCAGCTGGTTGACCTCAGCAATGGTTCCCTGCTGAAAAGCGCACTTGTCAAGTTCTACAACGTGCGTGGGGAACATATCTACACTCTGGAGACACCTGTGCAGGTAGGAGGCATTTGTAAAGTCTGTTCTCCATGCTTTGCTGATATGTTTGTCCCACATCAGCTCATTGCTGCAGGCCTGCAATGTGGAAAAGGTTGCAAAATGTCCCAAACCCATCCTAAAACACAATATAGATAAAACTGTGCTATAAACAATGGTTGTTTGCATTAAGGTAGACATGCAAGACTGCACCTAAGGTCCACTGGGGTAGGTATTGTGGAAATATGAAAGGAGAAAGTCTGTTTTACAAACTCACTGGGCCATGAAGAGACAGACAGGAAAAGAAAATTCCATTTTTTTTATGAATAAGTGACTGAGAAGAAAAAAAAACTGAATAACTTGCTTAATGTTGTAGCAGAACCAAGAGCTGGACAAAAATATTCCAAGTCCAGTATCGTAACTACGAGATTGTTCCATCCTTGCTGTCGTAATTTTCTAATGTACAATCATTTGGTGATGCAGCAACCTCAGTCATGTAATTTGCCAAGTAAATGCCAGCACGTGGTCTGTGAGCTGCTCAGGCACAGCATGCTTCATAGGTCTCTGGTACTTCAGAGCCCAGCTGAATGTAATTCTGTGTCATTTTCTGCAGAACAGGGATGACTCCATTCTGATTTCTGCTGTTAGTAATGAAACTTTTTAATAACTTTGAAATCTAAAAGTGAAGAAAAATGGTGTAGATATATTAATTGTATTTAATGATGATACCATGTATTATCATTTTTTTTCCAGTACCCTGATCTGGAATGGATGCAAAAGGGTGACATAGTAAACCATCTGTTAAGCCTTTGTGTTTGCTTATATTTAGCATTAACCTGCGCTTATTAACCTTAGAACTCTAATTTAGATAGAATTATTTAGTTGTGTAAAGTGTAAAATAATGGTCTCTGAGGCCAACCTAAATATGTGCAGTGATATCTAATGCTGATTTAGGTACCTAAAGGACTTACCCATAAACACAGCTTTATTGTCTTAAACATAACCTTTGCAGCAAAGTAGCACAGTCCTTTCCTCTCTGGATCAGTTTTGAAGAAAACTTACTTATTTCAGTGTTGCTTTTTCCCAGTCCAGGTGAAAAGCAAACCTTTTTCTGTTACTTCAGTACCAGAACTCAGTATGTGCACATTAGCTGTTGAGCCCTCTGGTGCCAGGCTGTGAAATCACTCTGTGGTTTGAGCATCAGAACCCATCAGGTCAGGTTGCCCCAAGGTACGCATGTGTGCGGGCTTTTCCCTCACTACTTTGTTCCTGCTAATCTCAAATTCTCCTTCATTTAAATGCTTTCATCTCCTCTAGTTCTCCATGTATAGCTTCAACTTCTTTTCATGTTTTCAGATCTTCTCCTTTCTCCTCTACTTAACCAGTAGAGTTAATGTAGTTATGGGAGAAAGCACATATTGTGGCTGATGTGGGGACTAATTATTCTTCTGATATGTGAGTGCTTACAGAGCAGCTGAGAGGTCAGAAAGAGCAGGTGAATGCTAAGTTTCCACTGCAGTATTTCTAATAGGGGAAGTAGTAACGTAAGCCCTTCTGCTCTTTGCAGCTGCTATTTTTGTAGGGAATAGCAATATTTTAATGTAATGGAGATTTCTTCCCCTGTTGTCAACTGAGGACTAAAAGCCAACAACTTCAGAAGTTGTGTTAGCCAGGTTTCGAGTAAAGGATGAGGACAGTCAGGGAGAGGCAACCACCACTTAATAACAGAATCAAGGAGTCTCATTTCCTTTGGAAATCAGGATAAAAATTACATTCAAACTGATATGTTTGTTTAAAAACTGCGCATAAACCTACTTAAAATTAGAGCCACCCCTCTTCTCTTATTAGTCAGTGTTTAATGTCTTTGTTCAGTGCATCTGAATTCATATTTACTCAACTGCAGGAGGAAGTGAGGGGTCTTTCAGAATAGCACCTGTATCTGCTCATGTGGACTTTATTCTCCTATGTATTTGAATGCTGGTCTAGCAGTATTACCAGCTAAATGACAGGTATGCTAAAACATTGTTAAGTATTTAGTTTACTGACAAAACCATATAAAAACCACTGCTGCAAAAAAAAATGGCTGCTAACTTCTGTTATCCTATGCCTCTGCTCCAAACATGTATTTGCAAAGATGAGAGTGAGTCAGTGGTCCTAATAATTTGTCTCATGACAAATTCTTCAGAGTAAATTAATTAGTTTTCTGTACCATGGCAGTCAGCCTTGTAATGGGATTCTATAAGATTCATCACTGGTTACTGAAATTAAAAAAAAAAAATTAAGAAAATAAAAGAATTTCCTCATCTTGAACTCTTCTGTGAAGACTTTCTAATGAAGAAACAAATGCGTGACTGGAAAAGCACATTGATTACAAATGAAAGTTGTTCTGAATACAAAAGCCAGAAAAAATAAAACAACCATGAACATAAAAAATAATGGATTACAGGTACAAAACCAATTTTCAGTGTGGTCCTCTGTCCCAATTCTTTGACAGAGCAGATGTCTGAAAATTTTATCAGTAAAATATACTAAACTGTTTTTGTTTCTGCTGTTTGTCTGTCCTGTCCTCGGTAGGATGTTCAGGAAACAGATTTTATTGCCAATCTGACAGGATTTATATGCAACTTGGCTGGAATGTTACTGAACATAAAGTCACTGCAAACCCCAGTGGTAGAATAGATTTGGGAACTGCAGGTAACTCATCTCAATGATGACTGTTGTCATGGATCCCTTCAAGATGTTTTATATGCTGCCTTCTCCTCCAGCTTTAGTGTGGTTTTGGTATCTGCTGTCTTGTTTGATTAACTCTCTTAAGCTTTTACCTTCAGTATAGGAATTTATAGTACCTAAACCTAGTTTCCTGACTATAAAACTCTAGATAGGAAAATCACACTTGTTTAGAAGTATTGAAATAAAAGTAGCAGCTTTGCTTGAAAAACAATATTCATAAACAGAGTGGCAGAGTTGGCACAGTGTAGCAGTCACTCCTGTTCCTGGCTCTGGGGCTTCAGCCTGGCATGCTGCAAGGATGTGTTTGCAGAATAGAATGGGAAGAGCTGAAAAAGCATGAATAAGGGCTGGTCAAATACTGAACTGAATTCTATGCAGAGAGCATATCTTAAGGACTGGTGATCAGCTGATGACTATTCAAAAACATACTATCAATTTCTGTAAAATGTACCTCTTACTACACCCGTCCTTGTATGCACCACAAACACCAGTGTGAGGTACAAAAAATATACCTGGTTTTCTCGTGGTCCTGCTTTTTCAACATTTAAAAATGAGATTGCAACAGCAGGCTGCTCTGCTGGTCATAATGTTTTTATTTGGACAATGTTAATTTCTTACATTGTTTGGTAACAGGACCGCGGCAAAGTCCTCACAACCTTTCCCTGGCCTCAAGCAGGGATGAGAATAATCAACTGATTTAAGACTGTTTTATAGTCTTTCCTACTAAAATAGTTTACCAAATGCTGCAACCCAGTTCTGTCACTTTAGAAGTTCTCATCTAATGTGCAGAGAGGTCTTTTTTATATCAACTAACTGTACCTGCTGTCACTTCTGATTGGAAACAGATGCTTTATATCTTCCTATATCCTGAACTTTAAACAGGAGTCTCCTACAGGATCTCTCCAACATTATCTAACTGCCAACTTTAACAAACTGGTGAATTTTTCCTTTCTAATGGTTCAATCTTGTGGCTTATATTTGGTCCCTTCTTCAGTTTTTATGATTTTTTAATATGTTCCAGAGGGGACATGGGGAACAAGAGCACAGATTAAGAAGCTACAATGCAGATCTCCTCCACACACCTTTAATTCTACAGTAAATTTACATTACTTTAAGATTTTATGTCACTGTGTAGCTGGTGTGAGTACAGATTATGTCTCGAATGCAGCAAAGGAGGATGAGAGTGAGCTAAGCTTCACATGTGGTATAGACAACAAGGTTAAATGTAAAAAACAACATGTGTATCAGTGTAGTATTTTTAAACCTAACTCAAGGTGGTGTATCAAAGACTAAATCTTTAGGGAAGAAATTTCCAGAAGACAACCAACTTGCTATAGACCTGCTGTTGTCAGCATTTCACAGACTGCTTCTCTGCTGGAAATGTCCCAGCATCTAAATGAATAGATTTAAGATTATATGATTCTGCAGAAACCAGGTAGTTCTGTAAAGGCTAGAGAAGGAAGGTACAATTTTAGGTTTAAATGAGATCAGAAAGAAGAGGCTGCTTTTTATGTTATTCAGCTAAGCAGACCTTGCTTGCTTTTCTTCATTTATTTCACACAGAGTGTTCAGTTTGTTGCATCTGAATTCATGTTGCCTTTCATATATATTGCCTGGAATCAATTTTATTTAATTTTTATGGCATGGCAACAAAGCTTCAAGAAGAGTTTATTTTCTTACAGGAAGAAAAGCAACAGTTTAGAATTAACTGATGAAACATGCTTTTAGGATACCACTAAAGACCTTGGTGTTCTTTATATAGGTCACAGGATCATCTCTGCTGTGGAAATGGATTTTGATCAGCACTGGTAATTGAAGACACTTTTCTAAGCAGCTCTTTCTGTTAAAATGGAATTTTGTTGTGTATTGACTTCTTAAAAGTACTGTAGAAATAGAGAGGATATAAGAAAGAGCTGAAAATCAAGTAAGACTTTATTACATCAAAAATCACATCAGGCAGCAGCAGCAGATTTCTCATCATTTGTCACCATCAGTTCTTAGCAGTTAATATTTTTCCCACTGTAAGTAGGAGGAGCAGAAAAATGAAGGAGTGTTAGTCCCATTGAAGGTGAGAGTGGGGGACAGGAGGTGGGTGTTTTTCTGGTCCAGGGGTTTTCCAGAAGCCTTGCTGTCCTGGCAGAGTCACCAGAATCTGATGCCTTGAGAGGCAGCCTAGAACAGAGGCTAGACAGTGTTAAAGGAATAAAGTAGGTATTTATTAAAAAGGCTTTCAAAGCATACTCTTGTACAGCATACTGGGCTGTACAAGAGCCCAGCTGAGGCCACACCCAAGATGGACAACAGGTCATGAGGTTTCACAATTTTATAAGTTTTGGTCCATTTACATATTTGGGTTAATTGTCCAGTTACAGCTTCAGGTTATCAAGTCCCATCCTCCCAGACTGCTGTCCTCAATTTGCTGTTTATACTTTTTCAGCCTGAAGCTGCAACAGTGTCCTTGGTTCTTAGGCTGAAAAGGATTGTTTCGTCAAACTACCCTGTGAAGGGAACTTGCTAACACTTTATATGAAGTTCAGAGTTATATCCTAATGCAGTACAGAATCTGGAAAATATGAAAGCTAAAAGTTAAGGCATCAGATTGCTTTCCCACAAGCATCCATGAATGCTGTGGCAGTACAGAGGTGTGCACACAAAAGTCACAAAAGCCAGGTGGGCACTGTAGCCATTGCAGCTCTCAGCTTGTCTCTGAGACAGAAGGGTGTGCACCTCCACATCAGCAGTCTGGAGTGAGAGCAAGCAGAGGCAACCTACTTACACATGCCCTTCACTGGATACTATTTTGCAGTTGTGTTCTTCCTCCTGAGGAAAGTCCTGCTAGTTCCTGGGCTTTCTGCCCTGGAATACTATTTTTATTTCATTACCAGCAGGAGTCCCAGTGCCAACAAACAAGGGATTAGTTCAAGCAGCAGGTAGATCCCATGGCTCAGGTTTTCTGAGCACAAGGCAGGCAGCAAGAATCAGCTAGAACAGTGTTTTCTTTGACTGAAATGCATACAAGTGCTGGAATGTATATAAATTATGTTCTCTCCTCTAAGAGAGACAGTAGAGTGACTTACAAGAAGCAACCACAGAGCTCTGAATTGGAATATCCATTCCTTCATGCTTTTCTAAGAGGAATCTGCATCCCAGCTGGGGGTACAGATTTGATTAGCTATAGCTTACTTTCAAGCCCACTTGGAAAGAAATTGCAGAAGAACTCATTGCTTGTCACTTGTTGAGATGTGTTTCCAGTCAGTATTTCTTCTGATAAAGCATCTTTTTTTTTTCTTATGTTTTAGCAATGGTTTGCAATATATAATTGTCATAGAGCTACATCTTGGTATTTAAACCCTGGAATTCATTCAGGTATTTACAGTTTATGCTGAGATTTTTCAAAACCTGATGCTAATTATATATGCGAAGTGAGATTAGAAATTCTCATGTTATATTTGTATCTGCATTTCTTTGTTCCTAGCAGAAAAAAAACCCAACTGTGCAAACACGGAAAATAAAATTCTTTTGTCCTAGAGTCTGCTTGTTCCTTTTGTAACAGGTGGATACAGCAACTTCTGCCCTTCTTTGTTTTGCTAAAACAGTACAAATAAGTGGATGCTTTATGAGGAGCAATATTTTTGTGTTGGATGTTGGAGGTCTACTGTTTTGTCTCAGTAGAGTTTGAAAAGAAAGCTGTGGCCAGCTCCTAACTGACTTGCTGCAGTAATTGATTCATATCCCTTGTCCAGCAAGGGAATGACTAGGAAGTATAGTTATTGAAAAATATTATTGGAGCAGTACTTTAAAGGTCAGGTCAGATCTGACATTTGGGTGATCTTTTATTTCTCCAAGCCTGTAATGACAGGCTAATTTTCCCTGAAGCTCATCTGAAGTCTTAGCCCTTCACTGTAAATTAAATGTTGATGAATACTGGGCTGGAGGAGCACCAAGGGTCTGACCATTTCAGAGAAAGGAAGGTAAGGTGTGTCTGGTGGTGTGGTGCTCTTTGTTGAGGTTGAAAATATTAAAACATAATGAGGTATGCAGGGAAACTAACTGTACAAATGGAAGAGTAAAAATGTCATGATTTACAAACAGTACAGCACTTGTAGGTATTGTGTGTGTGTTTGTTTAAACATGCACCCACTCACATATTTTTTGCATATACATTCATAAACAATATAAGAGCATCATACATTGAGACGTTTAGAAGGTGACTGAATTATGGTGGCCTGTTGGAAAATGGTGGTGAAGTATTCAACTTCTGACTTTCTACTCTTTGGAGATCCACAGTGCTATGTTGCCAGAGGTCCCACCCTGTATTTCAAAGCTGCTGAAATACCTTTCCTTTGAGACCATATTTTAGATTGCAACGATTCTTGCACTGCTACTATCTGCACCTCTGATGTTCTCTGTGTACAGCAGTAACCTGAGGAGTGAGGTGGTTTTATTTAAGTCTATTTGGATGAAGAATGTTGCACCTGGGTGTGATATGTTGGGTTGTAATAGCTGCAGTAAGAGACATCAGGTCTGGGTGTGCTGAACTGGATTATGATAGCTGGGATATTAGACTCCTCTTCTGCCGTTAAAATCTATCCAATAAATAAACATTTGTGTGCCAAGTCACATACTTGTTTGTTCCTTCACTGTGTTTATGGGTAAGCTGATGAAAGGTGAACAGCAGGATGCAGTTTGGATCCCACAGTAATAGTAATAATCAGGTAGACAGTGCTGCCCATGCTGGGACTCAGCCCTTGGGGAAAATCAGGGTCACTTCTACAGTGTTGTTCTTAGGCTGTCATATAGTAGATGTGGCAGGTACCTATCTTGTGCCAGTGTCTTTCCAGTTGCATTTCTTTGGTAAGCAGCTTGAACTCTCTCATTGCTGCCAGACAGTGTGAGGGCGGATCCTTTTTGACAGATCATGAAAATACCAGTCAGTAGGGGATACTTCATGTGACCTCTCCTCAAATGTAAGGCTGTATCCCACAAATTATGATTATGACAAGCCATGTAGAATTATTGACGGTATACAAAGGATTTCTCAATTCTTTTGAAGTTCTCCACTACAAAATGCATTTAGCAATTACTGTGAAAATCACAAGATTCACATGTTGCTGCTTTCTATTTGTGTATCAGGCAGCCTGAAGATTTGTGCCTTCGTGGAGGCGTGTGTGTGTGTGTGGTATTGCCTAGATGCAATTAAAATTAAGTTCCTTCATTCCTCCTACTTTAAAACCAGTATTTTCCTTGAAATTTAAATCTAGGATAAAGTGACATAGTAGGGAAGCTCTCTTGTGTGAAAAAGTTTTTCATCCAATGCTTTATCTTGATGATGAACGTTGATAAAGTGCTGTGCCAGCTGCATTTTGTTTCATAACAGTCACATAAAAGCACCTTTTCCCAGTTTCTCGCCTTTAAGTATCTTGAATTTGTAAATGGAAGGGAGGCTTTTTCCCCAGACCAGGTGAGTAACCTCTGGGCCGATCTAACCCTGCTGTCTGGGTACCATGCTGCTAATAGAGGAGTGAATAAAAGCCATTATTGGTGGTGTCTTGACCCTGTCTTCTTGTTTGATGCATCTTGTGAAAAGATATTCCAAAGATACCCTGACCTTTCAATAAATACAGTTCATAATTTAGATGAAAAGCATGTTTGCTTAAACTTCTGAGTGTCACAGATTGTGAAAACAAGGAAGACCTTCAGAGAAAGGAGTAAATCTTTTGTAGTTCACTGATGACAGCTTGCTGTGTAGTATTCTTCATGGAGTTAAGAGTTTCATCTTTACTCTGTGTTGTTTATTTGCACAGAGGTAGCAGATGGGATTGAAATACTCCAGGGTGTGTGTATATAAGCAAATACAGGTGCTTTGTAACACAGAAAGTAAGAGATGACAGGTGGATACAGGTAACACTAAAGGGCAAAAGTAATGCTAGGGCTAGAGGAGATCGTAACAGACTGGTACTTTACAAGAAAAGATGGGATTTTGAAGGAAAGTTTAGGGAGCTCCTTGCAAGCAGGAAATAAATGTTGTAAGCAGCAGTGTTTGTTTATCATTATTCTGTTCCACATTGTGACATTTAGTACCAGTTGGCCTTCACGCTGTGTTTTTTACTGTCATGATTTGGACATTCCTGAGCGTAGACAAGTAGAAGACAGAAGGCCATTCTCTGCTATAGTTCAAAAGAGACACTGCAGCATAAGACTTGGTGCAAGATGAGAAAGCTGATTAGGTCTTCTCCACTTGTTTTTTAAGTGTCTCTGGGCATATAATTTAACTCCCTGTGTCTTTAAAGTCATCCTATCTAGGTACTGAATTTGGTAGCTGACTCCTTGTGTGAAGAGCTTTAAGCATTCTGAGTAAAAAGCACTAAATAAACATCAACTGCTGTCCTTGATGATTTGAGATGTTCACATACTTCTTCTGTGGGCAGTGGTGGGCACTTTTAATTTCTGGAAGACTTAGGGTAATGTGATTGGTGCTGATTTCATGTGATCACTTGTTGTGCAGCCATCTCGGAAAAAGATCTTTTGCACAAAATCTTTTGAAGTTGTGTCCTTTTGCTCTCCATGCAGCGTCCCATCATCTCCATCTGTTGGGGTCACAGGGATTCCCGCCTGCTGATGGCTTCTGGGCCCGCGCTGTACGTTGTCAGAGTGGAGCACAGGGTCTCCAGTCTGCAGCTGCTGTGCCAGCAGACCATCGCCAGCTGTCTGCGGGATGACAAGGACATCAGCAAGCTGACCCTGCCCCCTCGGCTCTGCTCGTACCTCACCACTGCCTTTATACCAACAATCAAGGTAAAAAGAAAGAAATGGGTGTATTGTGAAGAGTTTATCGTTTTGAAAGCTTTCGTATCCTCTTCAAGACCCCACTGATGCATTTGGTGCCTATCAAAAATCTGAAAAGAAGGCTCACACATGCTGATCTGCATTATTCCATGGAGATGGCCTTTCCAAGTACATTACAAGGATAAAATATGCTGGTGACTCACAAAGATTTGTGAAGAAGCTCTCACTGGTGATAGTACTCTGTCATGGTTACAGGAGGGATTCACTGGGGTAAAACTGTTGCCTCTGTGCATGTCACATGAGTGCATATATTGCCAGGAAGGTTAGACTTAAGACCTGGAGCTGCCCAAACATTTTTACTAACAGTGAGTTCTGTTAATCTTACTGCTCCAACAGTGCTATGGAATAATGAACCAGGTATCACACCTTTTGACATTCAAACATATTTTTTTGTGATTTTTTTGTATATGTGTTACAGCAGTCTCTTGAGCCAGAGGTCCTTGTTAAAACAATGGCAGAGCTAGAACAATTAATTTGAAATCAGTGGGGCTGGCCCAGCTTAAATGAGAACAAATTATGCCTACAAAATAATAATTCAGCATGGTTCCATTTGGGTACTGCTAATCAGGGCAGTTTGTGCAACTGTAAATAATTTCATTTGTCAAAGAACAAAAATTGCTGTAACCATAACTCCTGGATCTCCAAAGATGCAGAGCATTTATCAGACCTGAAGTCTCCATATCTTTCTTGTTCTTTCCATCCTTCCCAGGATGCTTTCCATGTTGTTTTCCCCTCTCTAGAGCATCAGTGACAATTTGCTGGCTGTCAGGGAAGGCAGGGGAGGGGAGGCATGGGCTGGATGAAGGCAGAAGTTGGCTGGGAGCCCTGGTGGGGATCGGAGGGCAGTACAGGGGCACATCGTTACCAACAGCCCTTCTGTCACCTCCTAGAGGAGATCCCAGGACACAGAGCAGTTGTGGTGCTGTGTAGCTGGGAGGTCTAAGTGGGATTTCCAGAAGCCACATGCCTGTCCTGTTTCATGGGTGTTTCTGGAGCCTCGTCAACACTTAGACTTTACTCTGGCTCATCCCCAGTCATCCAATCAATCTAAGTTGTCAGCCATGCCTTCAATGCTAGGCAAGGCACCCTCTTCCCTGTGTACATTCCTCTTCCCCCTCCAGCTTGCAGACCACATTATAGGTCACTCCTCAGCTTATATCCATTTACCAGGTTAAGGAAGCCTATTTTTTTCCTTTTTTTTTCATACACTTATATTTTGAAAGAAACTCTGTTGACTTATATACATTAATAGTATTTGTGTCATACAGGCTATATTGTCCTAGACAAAATTAGTCCTACTGCTTTAGGACTGAGTTTTTCATGGATTAATACAGTGTGCTGGCAAGCAGGGCAAAGTAACCCAAGCTTTGTGCTTGTATCCCTCTACATGACACACAAATAGGCCCTCAGCTAGGATGTGACATGTGCTTGGAAGTGATATAAAAAGTACAAGCGTCTTTAAGAGTTGATAGCATATTGGCATAGCATGTAACAGTATTAACCAGGAATGGGATCTGAGTGTCCAGGTTCACCTGGAGGGCCTGGAGGAGACATGATACTCTGATACTTGACTTGACCACATTACTCAAGTTCAAAAAGAAGTTTCTGATAAGAGCTGGAACTTGAAGACAGGTTTGTTGTCTAATTCAGTGCTCTGACCATAGGTTCAACCTTCCTTTTTAATGTAACTAATCTTAGTTTTCATTTTCTGTGTACAATTGCATTTGAGCTAACAAAATAACATGCAGCCACTCTGTCTTGCATGTGGGTCCTGCATAACTCATGAAGTAACCTATGCTAATCTTCATCTGCTAAATTAGAGTTGGGTTCAAGTTCAGTTAGTTATGCTGGGATTAAGTCACCACAGAAAAAAAAACCCATAACAAAAAATCATACTGGAAAACTTTCTTTCCTTCCTCTGTTTAATTAAGCCTCCAATCCCAGACCCAAACAATATGAGAGATTTTGTCAGCTACCCAACAGCTGGTAATGAGCGGCTTCACTGCACCATGAAGCGGACAGAAGATGACCCAGAGGTCGGTGGTCCATGTTATACTCTGTACTTGGAATACCTTGGGGGATTGGTGCCCATCCTGAAAGGACGTCGTATCAGCAAGCTGCGGCCGGAGTTTGTCATCATGGATCCTAAAACAGACGGAAAAGCAGGTAGAATTCAATTGTTGCTCTGTATAAAAATGATTTAGCAGTACTTTGGACATTAAATCCTCAGGAGTTTTAAAAAATACTTATATGCAACATGGATGGTGGCATCTGATATTTTTTTCTGATGTAAAAAAAATCTTTAGTGTGACCTAGAAGCTTCTGAAATTACACCCTGCTGCCTTCTATTTTACAGAAGAGAACTTCTTGTATTCTGAGTAATGGAAAATAGATTGCTAATTAGAAAATATTCTTTAGTCTCAATTTCAAAGTCAGTTGAATGCTGTTCAACCCTCTGAATCATGTTCACTTGAGTTCAAACCATTGGAAATTTGGAGTTTGAAGGCAGAGTGGAGAACATTTAATTTTCCTCTGCAAAGTTTTATTTCAACTGCTGTCTGTGGATCAGGTTTATGCTTCTGATGACTGAGAGTTATAATTTATACCAGTTTTCTGAAGCAGCACTTAAATTTTCTGGGGCCTGTCTTGATAGATGAAATCTATGGAAACAGCTTGATTTCCACTGTGATTGACAGCTGCAACTGCTCCGACTCCAGCGATATCGAACTCAGCGATGACTGGGCAGCAAAGAAATCTCCAAAAATCAGTCGAGCTAGCAAATCACCTAAACTCCCCAGGTAATAACAGCTTGGATATTTCTTCTTCTTTTTCCCCAAGTGGCCTCCCTTCCTCCCCTGCCTCTCCTTCCCTTTCTTGACACCTTGCAAAATGAAAAGTAAACTCTTTTGGGCACATAGGAATCCTCTGTAAGATTCTCTACAAGGTGCAGTTCTGGGGTGATCTCAGAGTTTGGCAGAGAGTTGGACTTAGGGGAAGATTTCTGGGACAGAGTGTAATGGGAAACAGTAGAGCACAACTTCTCCCCAGGCAGTCTCAGAGAAAGATCTTAAAAACTCTCCCCACCTATTATTTTTTTTCCTCTTGACACCATGGAGAATATATTTTGTCCCTTCAAACAGACAGTTTTTACTTTTGTTTGTTACATTCCTGCCAGTGAACTCTTTAGGTGCTTCAGCTGGTATTCTTGACCCCCACTCTTGTATGGTGGGAGGTAGAAGTAACTTTTGGCTTGGGGTAGGAACACTGACAACATTTGTGGAGCCTTGGTTTGCTGTGTACTGATGTGAAAATCTGTTAGCCGAAGTGTCATATTCTCATTTCTTGAGACTTTGCTCAAAGTCTGCATAGCTGAGATCATTAATCTCTACACCTTTTAGGAATTAGTGGAATTTAGTATCTGGCAGAACTGCTATAAGCTTTGTTAGATTAATTAGAAAGCATCCAGCCAGCATGAGTTACTCCAAGTACATCAGGTCTTCTGTATCTTCAAATTTGACCTGTAATTCTCCATCCTGTAGGCTCAACAGTCTTTATTAGTCGCTTTGAGGACATCCTACCCAGTTGTCTTCTTCTTGCATCTTTCCATTCCAAGACATGAGTTTTGTGCACTTTAGCTTTCCCATTGTTGAATCTAAGTACTGCTTTGCCTGCAGAATCAATATAGAAGCTCGCAAATCTCCAAAGATGTCACGAGCTGCGCAGGAGATCTCAAGATCACCGAGGTTACCAATAAGGAAACCCTCTATTGGTTCTCCAAGCCTGACACGAAGAGAGTTTCCTTTAGAAGATATTACTCAGGTATTGTGCACATTGTTACCATACCTGATTCAAATGCATTTCTTTCACGAGGCAGCACGTTGTGATAGAGATCCAGTGATCAGCAATAAAAGTTTCCATTAAATTACAATAAGTAGATAGAATGAGAGAATTGCATCTTCCAGTTCAGTACTAATGTTCTAAAGTGCCAACCAAGTATCAGGTGTTGTTTGGTAAGTACCATGACCTGTTTTTGTCATGTATTTCACATGTGAATCCATGTGAGAGGTTTTATTCTAGGTGGTGGTGTTGTTGGCTTTTTGAAAGTGAATGTGAAAACACTTCATCAGTTTCTCAGACCCATCTTAATGCCACCATAATTCTCTGTTTTGCTAGGGATTGCAGAGATAAGGAAATGCTTGCTTCAGAGGACCACATGATCTGTTTCATAATAACATGAAACAGTCTTAATTGGAAGGAAGGAAAGAAATTACCATTTTGCGCTCTTTGTGGTGTTCATGTCCTTTGGGTAAATGAAATTTAGCTGGCTGCAGAATTGTCTAAGTTGTATATTAATAACATCCTCCTGCGTTCTTTTAATTTTCTTTGGTTTGGTTTTTTCTGCTCTCTTGTTTCACTTTATCGTTTTTATGAAAAATTCTGGAGCAGTTACACAGAGAAAGGACCAAAAGCCCTTCAAATAGAGCAAAAGACCTGAGGCTTGGATCCTGCTTCTGATACTGGCAGCATAACTCCTGGCCTTTGAGAAAAGTCTATTGGTCTTTCAGACCCATAATATGTGTACCATGGCAACAGATGGTTTGGGAACTTGCTTTAGGAGCTCCAGGGCCATATATGTTTGCTGCTATGAGTAATTAATTTCTGTCTTGTTTATTGTTCTATAAAGTGATTCATGAGTGTCGAACCAATGGGCAGGGTAAATCAGTCTCTGAAATACAGGATAACCATGGTCCTGCTGGGCAGGAGCAGTAAGTGTCTGAAAACAGACCTGTTCTCACTAAGCAGGCATTCTCCACTAAGTGTTGTTCAGATCTTCAGTAGCTTTAATCACCCTGTGGCTGTTGCATACATAATTCCTGATAGTGTAAGATATCAGAACCAGTCTTCGTAATGACTGAGTAAAACTGCTGCTACATATGCACTTTAGGCTGTTTCAATATAATAAGACCAAGAGAAACTGAAATTGAGTTATCACTTGCAATAGCTTGATTGCTGTGCCGTTTTTTATTAGAGCTTGGTACAGATTTTATCAGGTAGAAATGATTTTGTTTTTGTTTTGCAGCACAACTACCTTGCTCAGGTCACATCTAATATCTGGGGAACCAAGTTTAAAATTGTGGGTTTGGCTGCTTTCCTACCAACTAACCTTGGTGCAGGTAAAAGTAAACTTGATTTTTTTGCATGTCAAATTCTTTATAACAAACAAGAAACTTATGCCATGAAATACGAAATTTTTTGTAAGTGACCAAAAGGCTTCTTTAACAAAGCACTTATTTTCTGCAGACAGTGGGAATTAGATTTTATTAAATTCACTGTAACTAAAGGAGATAAAAATCTATAAACACAATAATGAGATGATCAATAAAATGCTAAAAGTCTCACTTGTAATAAAAAACTTGTAATAAAAAAGTAAATTAACTTTTGAGCCCAGACCTCTATTTTTATAGTTTATTTGAACAAAACTCACACACATAAAAAAAAGATTTTGCAAGAGGACTATAGAAATAATAGATTTTAAGTTACTGCAATAGAAGTATTTTTAAGTCAGATTTTTATTGTTATTTAGCTACAGATTATATGAAAAAGGTATTACAGCCTCATGCTCAAGATTCTTCAAGTCAGTGCAGAGCCTCATCACATGGTTCTTCTGCTGGAGCATCAGTAATCTGGTAGCCACCATTAAATCCAGCAGTTGTCTATCAACCTTTTTCTGGGTAGGCCAGATGTACCCAGTAGTCCTGTTGGAAGGAACAAGGCTGGGTAAAAAAGGAGGGTATCACCTCATGGGACTGAGCTCTGAACTGAAGTATTAACACAAGTGTAGCAGTTTAATCAGCTCTTTAGAAAACTTTTGTCCCATGTTGTATTACATAGTTGGGTCAGGAGTACATAAAGGTGCCCTGGATGTAGAATTAGATAGCTTTTGTAGCTATGTGGACTGCTATCAGCAGTTCAATAATCACAGGTCATTCTAATTCTCTTACTGCCAGTGGCAGATAAGGAAGGATGTAAGTGTAGAGTAAATGTATAGTACACCTATTTCAAATATTCTCCCAGTCTCCAATGGTTTGGGTCCCAGGGATTTCCTGAGCCCAGTGGGTTTTCTTTGTATGTAGTAGCCATCAGCATATTTCCTTTCTGAGAGCTTTCCAGTTTTGCCCTACAAAAGTTGGTAGCATCCTGTGGTGAAAAGTTTCAAAAGTGGAATGGAAAAAAGTATTTTCCTTCCATAAAAACAGATATGAATACAAGATGAAGTAATTAATTATTTAGTTACTTTAATGAATTACTGAGATGCTGCTTCCATTTAAAGAGAAATAGCTGAAAGCAACAATCTCTTTTATCCCATTTATGTAAAGTGTTACATAGTGCTGTGAAGAGTAAGCTCGTCCTGCACATAACATAAATAACAATACAGTGAATTACAATATTCATAGCCCTTCTGTCTGCTTGGAATTGCTTCTTCCTTAGCTTTACATGCTATTTGTGTAACAGACTTTTTTTGTTTCTTGTTATATTCTTTCTCTAGTAATATATAAAACCAGTTTGCTGCATCTGCAGCCTAGGCAGATGACAATATATCTCCCAGAAGTGCGGAAGATTTCAATGGACTACATTAACATGCCTGTCTTTAATCCAAATGTTTTCAGCGAAGACGAAGATGATTTACCAGGTAAGGAGGAGCTGGAGGGCTGCCATGTTATGGGTTGAGCTAGATGGAGGTCAGGTTGGTAGTGTCATGGTCACCTCTGGTAAACACACAAATCAAAATTGTCTAGTCTGATGGGGTCCTGTAGAACTGAGTTAGAATAAGGCTAATATGTATTATGGGTGTTGTTTTCTATAATGCATGGAAAACACAATCCATAAAGAGCTCCTTAGTTTCAAGTTCTTTGGGAAATTAGTCTTCTGCTAATTCATCTTAGTTTGCTAGGAATTCTCCACTGACTGAAACCTTCCGTTCTGCATCTTGATAGGACAGAAGTGTAATGTGTTGGAAACCCAAACAGGCTGCTCTTGAGACCTGATGGCATCAAAGCACAGCTGGCTGATAGGAGCTTGGGTTGGAGGGCAGGTTCCCTTTGAGAAGTGTTAAATGCTCATTTGGATTTTTATCACTACTAAGAGGCTAAAGTAGTTGTAAAGTGATAAACAAAGCAGGATCAGGAAGAATTTTTCACTTCACTGAGATGTAAAGTAGCAGAAGATTTAAGCAGTGCAGGGAAGGTTTGGGTGCAGGCGATGTGATGTGAGGTGAAAGGACAGGAAGTACCTAAGACCTCCTCCAATCAAAACAAAGTCATCATGCCAATAAAATTAACAAACAATAGAAAAGAAGATAAATTAATACATTTCAGAATTTTCATATCACTGAGGGATTCCTGTTGCCAGGTCACAGGTTTTTGGAACTATGGAAGTGACTGTCATGCCAGTACTCTTTAAAGAGGAAGGAGTGTGAACGCTGCAAAGCAATTAAAGACTTGTGTTAAAGTCTACTGAAACAAATGGAAATGTTCTCATTATTTCAGACCAGGGTTTCAACTGCTGACAGCAGCAAAGCTTTTGTCTGACCCAAGCATCAGAGCAGACTCCTGGATTTCTAAAGAAATACTTGCATATTTCAAATTAAGCCCGTTTTTTCCACAATCTGGGGGTCTTGGCTTGCTTAATTTCTGTCTACATGATACCTATAGTACCTGAAGAAACTAATAGAGGCATTGGTGAGTGTATGTATATTATTAATAGGAAGCACCCAACATTTGCTATTATGAAACATGGACCAAGCTGTCAGAAAATAATATAAAAACTAAATAGAAAATAAAAAAGTTAATACAAAATTTTTACATCTCTTCCTGAAAATTGGGTTAAATCTGCACTAAGAGATGAAATGGTGCTCATAATTGCAGGTACAGCACATAAACAGAGAGAAAATTATTGGAGACTCTTGTAGTAGCTCTTTGAGAAGGCCAGTAAAAGAATCATACTACCCTGAGCTCTATAACAGCCTTCCTCTTGTCCACTTTTTCCTTTCTAGTTTCTTCTGAAGATTTATTTCTCATTTAGTAAATGGTGGATACTTAAATCTTCAAAAAATGCTCTTGGGGATACTCTTTCTAAAGCCTGCATAAAGAAAGAAAGTACCATATACTAAAGGAAAAAGTATTGCAGGGTAAATAATGATTACATGATAGACTTAAAAAACACATAGTAGGAAGCTGCTTTGGGTAGTGCAGTGTTCATAGTGAGGTACACTCGGGACAGGTGTTTTTTACTGTAGTCAGTAAAGATTTGGCAAGACAGATGCACAGTGAATTCATTTAACTTACAACGTATGCAAACTAATCACTTAAAAACCATTGGAGAAATGAAGAAAACACTGGATTTAAACACTCATGAGTATTAAGCAACACCACAAGAAATGATATTTTGTTAGATAAGGCAAAATGACAGCAACATTTGGGGTTGCTCAAGCCAAGCTAACAATTAAACCTCAGGCTCTGGCAGCTAAATTGCTAAGCCTGCAGGCATCAGGGTGAAAGCATGGCCTGCCAGCTAAGCACAGAACCACAAAACTGCCTTAGGGTCAGTTCAGTTTGGCTGTTTGTCTTCCTCTAAAGGAATGAACTGAACTACCATAAGTATTTGCCAGTGTAGCCACTGTTCTATCTGTACACCTCCCACGTCTGTGACTGATGCTGATAAAAGCCTGATATTACCGAAAATGTAATTATAGGGCATAGGTAGTTGACTAGAATATTAATTTGAAATTAATTAGGAACTGGGCACCATTTGGAGGAGTCCGGACTAATGGATCTCCTTAGTGATCTGGCCTTGCAAATCAGAGTCTCCACAGAATTTGGCACACTTATATATGGATATAAAACTGGATATGACACTAGATCCTTGGGCTCTTTTCCTTCCACAAACCTACCGATACAATTCACCATTTTCTGTGGGGTTTTCTACAAAAAGTTTAATAAAAAGTAAAGAACTCAAAATTATTTTTGGAAGTTCGAATATAGTATTTACTGTTTCCCCTCTTTATTCTGTTTTGTTCCTTCTTGATTTCTGCACCTATACTTGGATTCAGTGTCCTCATTTTCCTGCTCCAGCTTTTCAGTGGTAGTTCCTATTGGAATCAACTACTTCTTGCAAAAGGAACTGCAAACAATTGAGCACACTTCATGCTTCTGCTCTAAATTACGAGAATTGCTTCTTGCCACATTGTCCCTTTTTCATTGCCACCACATGGGGAAAATTTTTCCTAGTATACATATGCTTCTTTATACGTTCCTGATTGCAGCCTGTCCAAACATTAATGCTGAAGTGGCCCTGACTACAATACCCACTTCTTCAATCATTTTGGCTTCCCGTCTATTTCCTCACATTTTGTCCTTACAAATCTTCTGAGAACTTTTATAAGTATTTTTCTGTATTTCATTCCATCACATTCCTGTCTCTGTTTCAGCTTCCTTCCTTTTGCATTGCTGGTTGTTTTGTCACCCACTATAATCAGCTTTTCCCAACTATTGTCTGTGTTCTCCAGTTCTCCCAAGGTCATTGAGTTTAGGAACCTTATACTATTATTATTTTATTATGCATATATTACACACTACCTTTAGTGCAGGTCTTCAACTTTATAAGCCTCCACTTTTTTGTTTATTTGCTTGTTTGTTTTGTTCAATTGTTTTTTATGTATTTACTATCAGAAGTCCCTCCCTGAAAACTAGTGAGTCCTGATTTAGCAAAACTTTTATTGATTTGAGCAGACACAGTTAACCCCTGATGATGAGTAATGCTAATTGATATTGTGACAGTCCATGGGGATCATAGCGTAGGCCGAAAGCGCACTCAGAACTTGACCTCTCAAGTGTCACTTCCAAGAAGCGGCTTTAAAGTTGATCACCAGCTGTTAAAAGTAGCTCCTGTGCAGTGTGAGTCAGGGTAGCAGACCTTACCTGTTCTCACTGAGGTCTGATCTACCTGTTTTGGGAACACGTAGCAGCCTCTCCGGGCGCAGCAGAGCGTGTGCAGCTAGCAGACAGTCTGCAAGGCCCCTCCGTGCCTGGGGCAGGCCCCGGCCAGGCCTGGCCGTGGCAGGGGAGGGATGGCTGGTGCGGGGAGCGGCGGTGACGCTCTGTGTTGTTCCTTGCAGTGCCCGGCGCCCCCGGCGCGCCCGCC